TTTTAGTCAGTCATCCAAAAGAAGATAAAAGAGGAAATAACCAAAAACGCATTTTTTTAAAAGTAAAATTGTAGAAAAAGAAGCCAAATAAGAGTCATTCACAATATAGGTGATTTTAAGTTCAGGAGACACTATCAGAGTGGGTTAAAACAAATTTTAGCCACCATATTTTTATGCAGATAAGGTGCACGTTACATATTTTTTGCCAATGGCATGACCTCACCATGTGTGTTGTACATGTGGGTGCGTTATTTGTGAAAATACAGTAAATCCAACCGAAGAAGATACGTAAAATAGTACAGGAAGAATGAAAATAAAGGCTTGTAAAAAGATATGCCGAGGAGAAAATAGAAGTATCTTATTAGTATACAAAATAGAATTCAAGGTGAAAAGCACTGAAAGGGACAGAGACAGGTGTTTTACACCAGTGAAAGGACCAGGTACACCAAAAAGATTTAACAGTCATTTATCTGAAATGTATGATAAAAGCAAAAACAGAACTAGATGATGAAATTGACAAAGCCACAGTCTTACTCCCCAAAAAAGTGTTAACTGCTTATGGGCTGTACTTGGCCCACAGGTATTTTGTCTATCACAGTATTTTTAAAAAGTGATGAAAAATGAAAATCAGAGTACTATTGCTAGCTAACAAATCACCCCAACATTTAGCAGATAGACTGAAAGCCCAGGTAACTTGACGGCTGGGGACTGGAATCATTTGAGTCCTTGTTTACTCACATTGGTGCCTTGGTTTGGGATGACTCCAAGGCCCACATGTGGCTTCACCACGTGGCTTCGCCCCATGCATGGCAGTCTCAGGGCAGGTGGACTTCTTATGTGGTGGCTCAGGGCTCCAACCCCAAGTGTTCAGGGAAACAAGGCAGAAACCGCAGCACCTTTTGTGACCTAGGCTCAGAGGTCACATAGCATCATTCCTGCCATACTCTTGGTTGAAACAGTCACAGACCCTCCCAGGTTTATGAGGAGTGGCATAGATCCTGCCTCTTAGTGGGAGGAATGTCACATAATTTATGGATATGTTTTGCAACTTCTGAAAGTCCACCCTCTGGCCAGACATTTATTTACATTCCTCCCACATGCAAAAGGTGCCTGGGTGGTGCAAATGGTTAACATGCTCAGCTGCTAACCGAAAGGTTGGAGGTTTGAGTCCACCCATAGGGGCCTTGAAAGAAAGGCCTGGCCATCTACTTCCAAAAAATCAGCCATTGAAAATCTTAAACAGCACAGTTCTTCTCTGACAGACAGGGGTTCACCATGAGTTGGATTCAACTTGACGGCAGCTGGTTTTTCACATGCAAAAAATACGTCCTCCCTTTACGTCCTCCCTTTACGTCCTCCCTTTACGTCCTCCCTTTCCAAAGATTCCCCACAATCTTGAGGTCCAGGATCTATATTAGATTAACGTGCAGCTGAGACTCCTTGGGTGTGATTCTTCAGTTACAGCTGTTCTGTAACTCCTGTACTCTGGGAGAGACTGGGGATGAGAAGTTCTGTGTTTGAACCCTATAAATCCTGGCTCCTTTATATTTTCTCTAATTTGTGCTTGAAAACCAATCGGTTTTTAGCTCAACTCTGATTATTGTGACTAAAATAACCATTGGCACTTTCAGCATTCTGGTTGGAGATCTCCTTCCCTGAGTTCGTCAGTTTATTTGGTATCTTTTTCATTTTCCTTGATGCCACGGGCAACAATTGCTAAACTTTCTGCCACTTACCTATCAAAGAGCTCCTTTTTTGCCCTGCCTCCAGTATAATTTCTCGCTTTCCTCTCAGCCCTCACCAACAATCTCTAGACCTTTCCAGCTCTGCTAACCACCTGGTCTCGAAACTAGTGCCACATATTTCTGGGTTTTGTTCCTGTAGCATCGTACTTCTTGGTTAACAAATTTTTTACTAGTTACTATTGCTCTGTTTACAAATCACTATAAAACTCAGTGGTGTAAAGCAACAAGCTGGAATGACTCAAAGACTAGCATCAAAGTGTCTACATGTGTCTTCTCTGTGGTTTATTTCCCCTCAGCATGGCGGCCTAGGGTAGTCAGACACGGGGCAGGGTAGTTAGAGACAGGGCGGGGCAGGAGGGGAGCTGGGTGGGGGCAATCCCATTTGATTACCTAGCCTTGAAATCACGTCGTTATTTCTGCTAACTCTGTTGGTCAAAGTGGTCACAAGCTTGTCTGGGTTCAAAGGAGGAGACAAGAAGAATCACAGAATTTCTCATCTGGCAAGTTGTTAGTATAAAGAAGGCAAAGAAATTGTTTAAATTTAGTTATTATTCCTCAGATTATAACTTTGCAGGTGCAAGGTTTTTTGTTTTGTTTTGTTTTTTAAAGAACTAATATATGAATGGGAGCCCTGGTGGCACAGTGGTTAAGAGCTAAGGCTGACTAACCAGAAGTTCAGTGGTTCAAATCTACCAGTCGCTGCTTAGAAACCCTATGGAGCAGTTCTTCGCTGTCCTGTGGGGTCACTATGAGTCAGAATCAACTCAGTGGCAATGGGTTTGAATGTATGAATGAGGACTTAATACAGCTTGGGATAAATTTCCAGTGATAGCATCACACACATTTTTAAAATGCTGTCTGTATCTCAAATAGCTTAGATGAAAGTAAAGCTGCTACTTCTAGTAAATGGCGTTGGATAACTCAAGATGTGGCTCTAGTAATAACGAACACTGGTATCGACGTTCATGTGAAGAGTTTGAACAAAATTGTTTCAATAAGGAAAAACAAAAGCAATTTTTCTAAATTAATATGAGTTTAAATGTGTATTTGCAATTTAATTAATTAATAAGCCAAATATAACCATAGAGGTAGACTTTTGACTATTCTGTCTGTATCCTTAAAAGTTTATTCAGTTAAAAAATTTTCTAAATCTTCCTCAACTGAGAAAACAATGGATCATATATTTAAAGATCCCTTATACTAAAGCATATAAGGTAGCCATTTTTGAAAATCGTGGCACCGGTATATAAGTATTCACATGTACTCTTTCCATTAAAAGGAGCTAGAATGCTCTATTTTAAAAAATGTATTAGGTGAAATTTCTTCTTTTATTTGCTTTTTTTTTTTTTTAACTATTGCCTTATTTTACATTTAAAAACTTTTTAAAGATGACATTAGGAAGACTAGCTTACTGCTAATTTCCTTTAGAATTTAATTTTGAAGGCTATCATATATGGTTAAATTAATCTAGAAACCTTATTAAATTCTACAAAATGGGTACTTCTTGGAAGCAAGATAATTTCATACGCACAGTACATTCATATCTTTATAAATGTGTTCTTATTCCAGTTTTGTCATTAACTTGATAATGGTTTTCAACAAACTAAAAACCATTACTTTCCTCATTTTTCTTATGGAAAGCCACTTTAAAAGTTTCTGTAGTCTTTTACAGTCTTTTGTTTAGGCATTGGGAGGTAAACTTACTGTTTTTGTGACTTGCCTGAGTGATGTAACGTTTGCACCATTTGCATTGTAAAATGTGGATTAAAAATGCCTCTTCCCCTTATTGCACTGTGAGTGTACAAGGAACAAATGATATAACGTGTAAAATGCTTTTAACAGCATAAAATGCGAGGTAAGTAAAAAGAATTAACATAAACAAAGGTATTGCAGTAAAAACAAATAAGGATTACTTTTTAAAATACTGTAAAAAACAGAAGTCAGTCTGTTTATCTGATATAATGTTTTCATTTTTAGTGCTTACATAACCTGAAAAAAGTGATCAAACTTAATGTGTTTAGCAGCTTTTCACAAATGTTTAGTAATGATTGAGACTTAGTGAAAATTGTAATATGGAAATTTAAGAATTAGGCATGTTGATAAAAATTTCATTTGATAATCAGTGTGCAAAATAATTTTCTTGGTTAAAAACTTTTAATGTAATGTATTTGTTTTGACTTAGGTTTTAATCAGAAATAAAATGTTCAACTTTACAGGAGAAGTATTTTAATGACAGTATTACCAAAAAAACCCATTGCCGTCCAGTCGATTCCAATTTATAGCAATCCTGTAGGACCCTACAGGACAGAGTAGAACTACCCCATAGGGTTTCCAAGGCTGTAAATCTTTACAGAAGCAGACTGCCACCTCTTTCTCCTACGGAGCAGCTGAAGGATTTCAACCGTCGACCTTTTGGTTAGCAGCCAAGTACTTAACCACTGTGCCACCAGGGCTCATTCTAATGACAATTCTAAGATCCATAAATCTTTTGTAGTAAAATTTTTTCATGTGTAGTTGATAGTTTCAGAATATTCTTTGTTTTTATCATAGTATAGTCATTGTTTCTATCAGTCATAGCTGAGGATATTTTATTTTTTGAAGTATGCCCTCCAACTAGTAAAAACTGCGTAAAGCAATTATTTGTAATAGTGGATTTAAACCAGAAGTTTATAACCTCCCCAGCTATTAAACTGCCTCAGGGAAACATAAAATAGACAAGATAAAAGGCAGTTTTCCATAATTTTACCTGCTTAAGAACCAGTAAGGTACACGTTTCTCATTAAAATATTGTCATTGTTTCGTGCGTAGCTTTTATGGTCAAAAAGCCCAAGGAACATAAACTGTAAGTTACCTTGGATTGTTTGTCTACATAGTTGTAATCTGGATGCTGTTAACATTAATATAAATATAATTATAAATATCTTATAGGTATACATTTTATGTAGCTATATAGTAATACGTTAATATCATTATAGAACTATATTAATGTATATTGATATACATGTATGGTAATGTATACACATATATTAATATAGTTATATAATACATGTAACTATATTAATGTATATATAATATGTAAAGTATTAATGTATATTCATATGTGTATAGGTATATTAATATATATACTAATATATATTAGTATAGTTGTATGAGTATACATTAACATAATTTCTATTTTTAAGAGTTGAAGCCTGTACTGTCATATTGCTGTGCTACTTTGTTTAGCCATTTTGCCTTTTTTGTCCACTTCTGTAGCTTTTCTGCAGTTAGAAAAAAAGGGACCACAAAAACATCACTTGGATCCACCTCCAGTAGCACCTAGGAAAAACTACTCTTTCACAAGAGAGGAGGTGAGACAGATTGATCGGGAAAATCAGAGGCTTTTGAAAGAACTGTCCAAACAGGCTGAAAAACCGGGAAGCAAAAGTACAGTTCCTAGAAGATCAGTTGGTCATCCTCCTAAGTTATATCACAGTGCTATCAACAGACAGAGGGAACAGCAAAGGATCGAAAGAGAAAACTTGGTAAGTAACTGAAATCTTTTAGTCGTCAGAGAAAATGTATTTGCACTGATTCGTAAGTCCAACTTACAGGAAACTTAAATATAGCCAATATTTCACACTTAATTGTATAACCCATTGCCATTGAGTTATTCTGACCCATAGTGACCCTATAGGACAGGATGGAACTGCCCCATAGACTTTCCAAGGAGCAGCTGGTGAATTCGAGCTGCTGACCTTTTGGTTAGCAGCTGAGCTCTTAACCACTGTGCCACCAGGGCTCCTAATTATATAAACACAGGTATAAATATATTTAGCGTTTGTATGGCATGAAACACATCACGTGCTAGCTATGAACCTGTAAGGTACAATGTGTGGTTTTTATCCAGTAGACTATTTTGAGGGAACGTTAAAAGAAAACAGGGAGAGCGTCTCTGTTTATTTGACCAGATCAATAAAATCACTACAGTAGTGTGGAACATGGTATCCAAAGGTCAGATACAGTGTATCTTCTGTGAAGTAGTCAGTAGCTAAATCTAACTGTTTCACTTTATTGTGTTCTTGGAAGCTAAAATAGATGATGATTTATTTTAAAGGCTAACCACATACTCTGGAAGAGGTCAAGTGTGGTGGTATGCTTCTGAATTTTTAAAAGATGTTCATTGTTAAAGCTTATGGGATTACACTTTGATATTGTAAAGGAATATACATAGGGACTATTTAAAATCCTCACATTTAAAATGATCGTAGCATATAATTTTCTTTATAAAATTCAGTTCATAACAATCGCTGATATTTACTGAGCTCTCACGAAAGCCAGGCATTGCCGGGTCTTCCGTATATTGGCTTTTTTTGTATCCTCACGATTCTGAGGTAGGTACCATTTGTATCTACATCTTATACATGAAAATAAAAACAAAAACCCAGCCCTAGAGGGGTTAAATAATTATACCACAGACACCAATCTAGCACGTGAATAGCTGAGCCCAGATCTACAGCCAGGTAGTCTGGCTGCAGAACCTGATTTTAAACTGAAGTTCAACTCTAATGAGCACATAAATTGAGAGCTCAAATGATTTATAAAGATAATAAAATTACTAAAACAGCTTGAAAAACTAACCCTCACAATATTTCATCAGAGGAGCTCTGGTGGTGCAGTGATTAAGTGCTCGGCTGCTAACCAAAAGGTTGGCAGCTAGAACACTGGAGCTGCTACTCGGGATGTGGCAATCTGCTTCCGTAATGATTTACAGCCTTGGAAACCCTATGGGGCAGTTCTGCTGTGTCCTGTAGGGTCACTGTGAATCAGAATCGGCTCGACGGCAACAGGTTTTTATATTTCATCAAAGAGTCTGTGGGTGGCACAAACAGCTAAGCAATCAACTATGAGGTGAAAGGTTGGTGGTTTGAACCCACCCAGAGCCGCGCTTGGCAGGCGGGCCTGGCTATCTGCTTCCGAAAGGTCACAGCCTTGAAAACCTTATGGAGCTGTTCTACTCTGCACACACAGGGTCGCCATGAGTCAGAACTGACCCAGTGGCAGCTAACAACAATGGATGACAACACAGCGGGTTGAGGTGAGGTTGGCAGGTATGAGCTACGTGATGGCTTCCTTGACATCACTGGCAGTATTCAAGATTTGTTTGTTTTTAACAAAAATGTGATATTACTGTATGTTGCAAATATTTGGGTTTAGTTTTCAAAGCTGAAACCATTAAGCATCTATTCCACATAAGAATAGGAAAAAAACTCAGTGGCTTCTGCTCACAGCTTTTATTATCTTCCAAATCAGCTGTGCACTTCAGCCATTTTAGTAAACAACACTAGGTGGAAAACTACTGCTATTCTATTTTATCTACTTTGTGTACATAGTAATTTGTATATATGAACAATATTTTTCTTCATTTGATAGTAGCATCTTATTTAATATACTCTTGCACAGTAGAAATTTGCAAGCCACATGTGTAATTTTAAATTTTCTAGTAGCCACATTAAAAAGGTCAAAAGAAACAGGTGAAATTAATTTTAATAATATAGTCTGTGTAACCCAGTATATCTACAATACTATCATTTCAGCATGTAATCAGTATAAAAAATTATTTTACATTCTTTCTTTTTTTTGTTTTCTGTAGTCTTTGAAATCCAGTGTGTAATTTACACTTACGTCATATCTCAATTTGAGCTAGCCACATTTCAAATGCTGTAGAGTCATATGTGTGTACTGGCCTTGGGCAGTACAGCTCTGGAATTAAAAACTAATTCATACAATTACCAACAAGCCAGCAATCTGCTCCCAGGTATATACCCCAAAAACTTGGAAGCAGGCATTCAAACAGATACTCGTACACCAATGTTTATTGCAGCGCTATTCACAATAGCCCAAAGATGGAAGCAACCCAAATGCCCATCAGCAAATAAATGGATAAACCAAATGTGGTACATACACAGCAGTAGAATATTTCTCAGCTGTGAACAGAAATGAAGGCCTGATGCATGCTACAAAATGGATGAATCCTGAAAACATCATGCTGAATGAAATAAACCAGTCACAAAAGGACAAATACTGTATGACTCTACTCAATAAGATGTCTAAAACAGGCAGTTGTATACCGATCTAAGGTTATTAGTGGTTTCCAGGGGCAGGTGGGAGGGAGAGGAGTAAGGAGACTCACTGTGTAGGAAATGCTGAGCCTCGGTGTTAAGGGTGATGGAAGAAGTTGGAAACAGATGATGATGATGACGTCTTCACAATATGATGAATACAGTTAATATCACTAAATTGCATGTGAAGAATGCGGAAATGGCAAATGCTTTGTTACAAACATATTTACTACAAAAAAAGAATTAAAAAAAGCCTAATTTGTACAGTAGTGAAAAAAGTAACTTAAAACAGGAAAATAATAAAACATCATTTATTATGTTACTGTGAAGAAGGTTAATCTCCCAGATTTATGTTTAGCTCTTCATTCTAAACCAAAATAAAGTTCATCCTATATCTTTTAAAAACTTTCTGTGACTGTTTTCATAATGACTTTAGTTATTTTTCCCATTAAAAAAATTCTATTATAAGACAAGTGGTATCTTGGGTGAAGGGTGAGACAGTACACAATACAGGGGAAACTAACACAACCTGTACAAGGAAGGGTCATGGAGGCCCCATGGACAGATCCAAACTCCCCGAGGGACTGAGTTGCTGGACGGAGGGCTCTGGGGACCATGGTCTCGGGGAACATCTAGCTCAATTGGCATGACACTACTTATAAAGATAATGCTCTACATTCTACCTTGGTGAGTAGTGTCTGGGGTCTTAAAAGCCTGTGAGCGGCCATCTAAGATACTCCACTGGTCTCATCTCTTCGGGAGCAAGTGAGAATGAAGAGAACAGGATGCAACGAAAAGATTAGTCCAAAGGACTAATTGTCCACAGCTACCAAGACCTTCACCAGACTGAGTCCAGTACAGCTAGATGGTGCCCGGCTACCACCGCTGACTGCTCTGACCAGGATCACAACAGAGGGTTCTGGACAGAGCTGGAGAATGATGTAGAGCATAATTCTAACAAAAAAAAGACCAGATTTACTGGCCTAAAGGAGACTGGAGAAACCCTGAGAATATGGCCCCCAGACACTTTTTTAGCTCAGTGGTAAAGTTACCTTCGATGTTCACTGATCAGCCTGTGAGTGGACAGCCCAGTAAAACCATGAGAGTAACGAGGTACAGGAGTCCAGTGACAAGGCCCAGAAGGCAGAAGGGGAGTAGGAAGCTGATGATAGGGAACACGAAGTAGAGTAAGGATATTGTTGATGTGTTGTGAGATTGTTAACCATTGTCATAGGGCAACAGTTGTAGTAACTGTTAAATGGGAGACTATTTTGTCCTGTAAGCCTTCATCTTAAGTGAGAATAACAGCACAATTAGAAGAGCGTAGTCAATGTCACTTAAATGTGTATGTAAAGAAAATTTTTGAAATGGCGTATCTTTGGCTATGTGTATTTTCACAAAAAAAAAAAAAACAAGTTGAGAATTTAGAGGGTTAAAATGTTGTGGGGTTGTTAACCAATGTCATAAAACAGCATGTGTGTTACTGTTACATGAGAAACTATCTGTTCTGTAAGCCTTCACCTGAAGTACAATAAAATATTAAAAAAAAAAAAAAATTCTATTATAAATTTTCTTTGGAATTATGTTAAATTTATATTTTAATTGGAAAGTGGTTGACATCCTTAAAATATTACCTTCCTATCCAGAAATATGGTTTGTCTTTCTATTTATTCAAGCTGCCTTATACTCTACGATAGTAAAGTTTGGTCGTTTTCTTCAGAACTATATATTGTTAAGCTATTGTGCGTGAAATTTTCTCCATTACATTTTCTGAATGTTTGCTTGTGGTAAGCTATTAATTTATGAATATTTACTGAATAACCATCCACCTACCAGACTTTATTTAGAGTCAGCTTGGCTCTAATAGTTCTTCAGTGCGAGCTGATACGCTTTTTAATCTATTTGCTAGGTTGTTTATATTTAAAGCGTACACACACACTTTTGTAGTCAAATGTGCCTCACAAGTGAGGTCCATTTCATTATAATTTTTATGATTTGTATTCTTTTATTTTCTCCATCTCCGGTGACAGAAGTAGATTCAAGTGGCTAACAGGCATGATGATACAGTGGTTCTCTTCTATGACTCTTATATCAGCTTGTTAGCAGTGCAGAGCCTGAGATAACTCAGGACAGAGTAGTGTTGTGCAGAGAAGGTAGCCGAGGAAAGAAAAGATATAAAATTTAGTCCTGTGCTCAGGAATTAAAAGCATACTATTTATCTCTCTGGTAAAGTTTGCTTCCTCATTATTTGGTTTTCATTAGACATTGCATCCAAACAGAAAAAAAAGGGAATAATAAAGAAAAGGTGGTTTTATCCAGTAGAGGGCATGCTTGCTCCATATAGACGCAGTTAAATTACAGCTTTACTGTTTCCAAAAAGAGGACTAATTTTTTAATTCTTGAATTTTGAAACATTCTTGTTAAACCGTATCTCCTTATTTTTGTATGAATATAACATAAATTTCTGTTTTTCTGAAAGTGTATCTTAGCAGAAGGAGGAGAGGCTAATAAGGATACTTACTTTTATAGTTTTACTTTATGTACTCTCCAAGAAGAAATGAGATTATTTCGTTCTTTTAAATGTGGGTCAGTTTCCTTAGCTGTGAAAGAAGGTGGGGGAGGGGTGGTGGTATAATTGGAGCAGGGTTAGGGAAGAAGTTAAGTAAGCTTCCTGCAGGAATGTATCACGATTAGTCCTAGAGCTCAAATGAAGAAGTTAATTTATTAATTTCTTCTTCTTTTTTTTTACTTTCTAAGATCTCTTTTTAAATACAGAGAAATACTAATAAGTAGACAATAAACCAGCAGACCATAATCTTCCCACTTGGGTTTCTGTGTTGAAATAATTATTTTTTTAAGATAAAAGTATTGCATATGTAAATTTAGAAAAGTCAAGCACTTCTCAAAAACGTTAAATAAAAAATCTTCCCTCCCCTGTTCTTTGTCTGCTGGTCTAGAAAGGTGATTTTAAAACTTTTACATGAAATGTGAAAATGATTAAAAGGACAGTGATATCATGAAGATGAAGATTTATACAAGATCTTGTATCTAGTATGAGTATTAATCAGTCAGTACCTTTATTCTGAGGTCTTGAGATAGTTTATAGTTCACTCAATCTGGTTCTTCTACTTCTCTGGTTATAGTCTATTGTCTTCTTCTGTAGAAGAAAATAAGTTAGTGATAACCAAATAAGGCTTCAGTTGTGCAGAAATGTGAAGAGCAACCGTTCTGATTCCCCAAGTGTAGGACACTTGTGATACTTTTTAAAGTCCTTACAGGGTTTTTCCTTCCTCACTTTAAAAGCAATAAAGCAGCTCACCTCTGCCAACAGCTACAGAAATCATTAACAGATTTGTTCAGTTGTTTGTTTTAACCTTTCTATGTCAGAAGACGGGCAGGATTCAAGCTGCGTTCATTTTCTTCCCAAATAGAATGATACTTCCTGGATGGAAAAGAAATATTTAGGCAAATTATTCTGGGGTTTATTATTAGAATCTGATCTGAGTGACACATCTAAGATTTTGTTAAACGTGGATTGGAGTATAAGTAACCATTCTTAGCATTTTCAGTTCATTACACATTATTTGTTTAATGTCTGCTATGAACTGTGTAAAGCACTGGAAGGAATACGAGAAAAATATAAAATACTGCTCCAATTATCATGTGCTTTATAACTCAGCTGGGAGGACAGTATTATTGCACATAGAACAATTAGAAAATAGTATAAAGCAGTATTAATGATACCATTAATATTTAATAAGCCATTACTACATGCCAAGCCCCCACATGTCTGTCCGTTTGTCGTACTGTGGGGGCTTGCGTGTTCCTGTGATGCTGGAAGCTATGCCACCGGTATTCAGATACCAGCAGGGTCACCCATGGCAGACAGGTTTCAGCTGAGCTTCCAGACTAAGACTAGGAAGAAGGTCTCAACCGTCTGCTTCTGAAAGGAATTAGCCAGTGAAAACCTTATGAATAGCAGCGAACATTGTCTGATACAGTGCCGGAAGATGAGCCCCTCAGGTTGGAAGGCACTCAGAAGATGACTGGGAAAGAGCTGCCTCCTCAAAGCAGAGTCAGCATTAATGATGTGGGTGGAGTCAAGCTTTCGGGACCTTCATTTGCTGATGTGGCATGACTCAAAATGAGAAGAAACAGCTGCAAACATCCATTAATAATCGGAACATGGAATGTGTGAAGTATGAACCTAGGGAAATAGGAAATCGTAAAAAATGAAATGGAACACATAAACATTGATAATCCTAGGCAGTACTGAGCTGAAATGGACTGGTATTGGCCATTTTGAATCGGACAGTCATGTGGTCTACTATGCTGGGAGTGACAGCTTGAAGAGGAATGGCGTTGCATTCATCATCAAAAAACATTTCAGGATCTATCCTGAAGTACAAACGCTGTCAGTGATAGGATAATATCCATACGCCTACAAGGAAGACCAGTTAATACGACTATTATTCAAATAAACGCACCAACCCCTAAGGCCAAAGATGAAGACATTGAAGATTTTTACCAGCTTCTGCAGTCTGAAATTGATCAAACATGCAATCAGGATGGATTGATAATTACTGGTAATTGGAATGCAAAAGTTGGAAACAAAGAATAAGGATCGGTAGTTGGAAAATCTGGCCTTGGTGGTAGAAATGATGCTGGAGATCGCATGATAGAATTTTGCAAGATCAACAACTTCTTCATTGCAAACACCCTTTTCCACCAACATAAACGGCGACTATACACATGGACCTCGCCAGATGGAATGCACAGGAATCAAATCGACTACATCTATGGAAAGAGATGATGGAAAAGCTCAATATCATCAGTCAGAACAAGGCCGGGGGCCAACTGCAGAACAGACTATCAATTGCTCACGTGCAAGTTCAGGTTGAAACTGAAGAAAATTAGAACAAGTCCACGAGAGCCAAAGTACGACCTTGAGTATATCCCACCTGAATTTAGGGACCATCTCAAGAATAGATTTGATGTGTTGAACACTAAAGACCGAAGACCAGAAGAGTTGTGGGATGGCATCAAGGATGTGGGATGGCATCAAGGACATCATACATGAAGAAAGCAAGAGGTCATTAAAAAGACAGAAAAGAAAGAAAAGACCAAAATGGATGTCAGAAGAGACTCTGAAACTTGCTCTTGACCGTCGAGTAGCTAAAACAAAAGGAAGAAATGATGAAGTAAAAGAACTAAACAAAAGATTTCAAAGGGCGGCTCCAGAAGACAAAATATTATAATGACATGTGCAAAGAGCTGGAGATAGAAAACCAAAAGGGAAGAACACGCTTGGCATTTCTGACGAAAAGAATTCAAGCCTCGAGTTGCAATAGTGAAGGATTCTATGGGGAAAATATTAAACGATGCAGGAAGCATCAAAAGAAGATGGAAGGAATACATAGAGTCATTATACCAAAAAGAATTGGTTGACGTTCAGCCACTTCAGGAGGTAGCATATGATCAGGAACTGATGGTACTGAAGGAAGAAGTGCAAGCTGTACTGAAGTCATTGGTGAAAAAAAACTGGAGCCAGATGGATCCTTGTTCAAATCACAGTCTCAGCCCAGCAAAGAGAACTAACTCTAGTTGGGTAAAACTTCACTGAGGAGTTGACTTTTTTCTAGCCTTTGAAGGCCAAGAGCTGAGAAAGGGCATTCCAGACAAAAGGACCGGCAGGCAGGCTGACAGTAACAGAGTGCTCTCAGTTGGTCTGTCCATTTCTGCGTGTGTTCTGCACCTCGGTCATTTGTCTCCAAACCTCCGTTTCTGCAGTCTTTCTTCTCCCCCTTTTCTAAACAGCTCTTCCCCCTGAATGTTTTGGCTTGCTCTACCGTTGCCTGTCCCTTCTCTGGAATTGCTCCAGAGCACTGCTCTAATGGAACCACAGGATACAAGCACGGGGTGTAACTGATTGGAGCAAAAACCTAAGTTAAGCAAGAAGGAAAAAGATCGTACAGAGTAACTTGTCCTGTGACTGAACTTGGGCTGACTTTTATATGTGAACCTTAGTGCAGAACAGCATTCTCTTCAAATAAGAAAGATCCACTTGCTACGAGAAATTATAAATCAATAAAGGAAATAAACAACCATGGATCAATTCCTTAGTCCATTTGATCTACCTAAATATTCTTTTCTCAATGATAGCTGTGAAAATCACGCAGAAGAAACCTTTTCACCTTCTGATTTGTGAAGAAAGAATTATAAATAAAATTAGGAACCTTATACATAGACTGTTTCTGAATCATATTAAGATATGTTACTGAATATTATGTTGCCTTGGTTACTTGGCTTATATATCTTTTAAAAAGCTTTAGTGGTTTCCAGACTGTTTCTTAATAGCAGAAATATTTTTTTCCAAACAAAATTTTATGCAGAATCTTCAGTATACAAAGCAGATGTACAGAAAGCATGTATATAAAACAGATGGTGGGAAGTGGGAGGGGAAAGCTGAGTGCCCACCCACATGGCCTTTCCTCAGCGTCACAGGAGCCCCTGAGGCGCTGCTGCAGAGCCAACAGGTTGAAATCCGCTGGTCTACAGTGGACGTACTTAGACTTTATAGTAGCTTACATGTTTGTGGTCATCTCTAGAGTGGACCACTGGGCTCTTAGCATTATAACTCCCATTAAGTCATTTCTATGGGAAAATCAGGTTGAATGTATTTCACCTTAGAGCACCTTTCCTGAGATAACCTGACATAAAGGAGAATTATGCCTATAATGAGTTGTTAAAGTCATAATGGGTTTGGTTAGTTATAGGATAGGAGAAAACCCTAAGATCTTTCTGAAACTATTATTTGAATTTTTTTTTACGTGGTATATCAGAAGTGATTTAAAATTATACTTTATTTCATGAATTTCTGGTTCTAGAAAGTATTTGCCTTTTTAAAAACAACTGCTATTTATCTAACATTGACTTTCAAATTGATTGTCTTTAATGAAGGCTTTATTGAAAAGGCTTGAAGCTGTGAAGCCCACGGTCGGTATGAAACGCTCAGAACAGCTAATGGACTATCATCGCAATATGGGTTATCTCAGCTCATCACCGTCTTCAACACGAGTGAGGTCTACTCTTGGCCAGTACAGCACTCTTGGCCAGTATAGCCCATTAAGTAAGCATATTCCAAATTATTTTGCACTTGTTTGTATCTTTGACCCTTTTATTTTTTTGAGTATAACTTACGTTCTTACGGTAGAGTTTTAAAATGCTAACTTCTGGGATGCGTTCTGTCATTTTTCACTGGCATGCTTTACGTTCTCTTAATTTCACGTTTTGTTTACAGCACATGTGGCGGCATTGGAGGGAAATCAGTAAATAAAATAATTGAAAATATCAGTAGTTTCTTAGATAATAGGAGAGGGATTTTTAATTTTAATACAATTATTAAGGGAAGAAATAGATGTGCTTTGAAGTTTCCGAAATATTCCCCTTAGCCAGTTAAGAATCATTGCTAATATCTTTCTTATATGTGCTTTTTCTTCCTCATTGGAAACTAAGACAAAAATTAGCCGTCTGTAGAGTCATCAGATGTGATAACTCTTAATGCTTGATAAGTGATGGGTACGCATGTAGCCAGTTGTAGGCTCCAGAGAATGTAGGACTAGAGTGACCACCTAGTGCTAGGGTTTGCGATATACAGAAAGGCCTGCCATTTTCCTTTATAGAAGTCCATGCTGTTATTTCATGTACGCCTTCTAGAACGGGAAAACAGAAGCCAGTACTAAGAGAAAGTTGGAGCGGCTTGTAACGCCACCCCTTCCCACCGCTGATGTGAATCCTAAACACCCGAATGGCTAGTAATTCCATTCATTCATTCGCAAACATCACTTCCTTTGTATAGTGACTGGGATAGGGTCTTGTTATAGTAACCCATACTTAGTACTGTGCCTTGAATATAATAAATTATTTGTTGAATGAATATATAAATGGTTATACAAAGTGTGTGTGTTTTTTTACTTGAATCATGTGAGAAGCTTTTAAAAGCATTTATTCTGACTCCAAATCTATTGAATCAAAATCCTTACATTTTATTCTTACATTTTTAAATTCCACAGAGAATCTTAAGTGCATTCCTGGTTGAGAATCATTACATTAGACTATTAAAATGTGGGATGAGGAAGAAAAACTAGTCTGGACTTAACATGAGAAGTTTCTCAGATGATTTATCTATTCAGTTGAAACATTCCCGATTATTTCTTGTCCTCTGTGTATTTTCAGGGGGTGCCTCCCGGACATCCAGTGCTACCAGCGGTCTCAGTTGTAAGAGTGAGCGATCAGTTCTCGACACACCCAGTGGCCTGTTGCTAAGACCCAAGCCCTCTAATGTCCGTGCAGCTTGGTTATAAAACCTTTTTTACTTCATTGTTCATCCAGTTTTTATTGAAGTACTGTTGTATATTACTGTAATTCTCTGTGCAAGCATCTATAATATTGTTTTAAGCAATTTAAGGTACATAGCAGTAAGGTGTAATTTATTGTAATTCAATGTAAAATTGTTTTAAAAAAAGACAATTCAGTGTAAAATCAGTGTTTCTTTTGAGGATTTATTTATCTCAGATGTATATATATTTAATAGAGAAACAGTAGTATGCGTGTATATTTTTTCAACATACGAATTGATTCAGCTGTCTTGCTGACAGGACATTGGTGACCCATGGCATCATTGCACGTTGGACTCAAGATGTTGTAGGTATATAGTTCTCATTTTTCTTTCATTTTTTGTGAGCTTTAACCTGAATTTAGCTCCTAAATTTGACTGACTTTGTTTTCTCTTTGCTTCAGAACTTACAAGGTGTGATTCATAACTTGATTGTATGATAGTTTCTTATGGTGAAACAAGTCTTGGAATTTGTTTTCATTGGTGGAGCTAATTGAGATTTGATGAATAGATGCGAGACACTTGTGCTGGGGCCGTCCTTGTGATTCACCAGAGGTATTCACTGCTTCTAAGTGCCGAGTTAAAACTTAAAAACTTGATTAACCATTCCACTCTTTCAAACTGTGAATATTAGTTCAACTCAGAAACTCCTCTTTCATGTTTTCATATATTCAGGTAAAGTACTATTAATGATTCTGAGAAAAGAAGGTAGGCTTTAGAGCTGCAGTCTAATGCATTGCGAATATTTTGTCCAAGGACCAGATCAGTTGCATTCTAAGGAAACACAAGTGTTTGTTCAATCAGTAGAATAGCACCACCATCTTGAAAAGCCAAGAAGCAGATCCTGAGGTTCGTCAGAACAGTGTTTTAAGTTACATGGCTAGCGTGTCATGTTCTGATTTAGTGTTTATTGTATTAAGAGAAGACTTAGAAATAAATACATTGTCTCAGAATTTTAGTAATGTCAGCTGTTGTTTGTAAGGGCTGAAAAAGAAAACTAAACTATGAATGGTAATGGAAATAAATGGCACATTTGTCAAGGTTACTGCTTTAAATATCAGCTTTGTTTTGGTTCTTTGGTTGAATTTTGGAAGTATCATTGTCAGTCCTCCATTTAAAGGCCTAGTAATCTCACTGGAATTGGTTGTGACAGATACAGATAGTGTGTGATATAATTCAGTTTTGAAATTAGAATATTTTTCTGCAGTCTGTAGGCTTTTATCTCGTGCAACAAAGTATGTTATCTTAGTCATGGTGGCTTTGGCCGAGCTGGCCTTGCGCCCTGTTTTCTGCTGCTGGCCTTTTCAGTGTGCCTTTAGAGTGCATTGGAAAGTCCCTGTTAAATGCCAAATATTTCTTTTTGTAATACGAATTTTTGATCTGTAGCCACAATAAGATTTGTTCGTTTGTTTGATTTTTCAGTATTAACTCAAGCTCTGTGAGAAACGGTGTACCATGCATGCTGAACTTACTGCATTTCTGAACACCTTTGGCAGTAAGCCAGACTGCCTTTTACAAAACATCAACTCATAATTGTTTGGTCTTAGTTTGTGTTAATGGATTTTGTTTAGGATAGGGCATGTGAAGGATGGGAACAATGGGGTTAAAGCTCTCATGTGAATGCAGCCTGGCTATGAGGTTTTTCTGCTTCTTTCTTTGGGCTGTAATAGTCATTAGGTGTTATTTGATGCTCTGTTCTGGTGAACAGTTTTTACATTATTTAGTGCTTTGCTTTGTATATAAGCTGTAGCTATACTCAACCAGGGTTTTATTTTGTTTTTTTCACTTATTGCACTTTTAATGTTTGCATAACAACTTATCTTTAAGGAGACATAAGATGATGCTGAATTTAAACTCAGCTTTTGGACATCTGCTTAATGGTGAGAGTCAGTTCTTTAAAACTGATTTTTAATTTGTTAGGGAAATATATTTACATATGTACATATATATGAGACCTTTTGTGTTCATAATGGCATTAGTCTCTGAGTACACTTTGTATGATCTTTGCTGCATATATCAAGATAGAACACATAGTGGTTTCATGGATAAAACTGTACTTTTATTTTAAATACAAATTTAATGCTTTTAGTTTTTACTGCTTTGAAAGGGGAAGTCATCTAAGTATTACTGATAACAGGGTTTGAACTTGAAGTAAAAAAAGTTGGGAAGAGCAACCATATTCACCTTTTTAGACAGAAGTTACAATCCTGTTGTCATAGTTAATTATATATGGTGACTATAAGTAGAATAGGAGTTGCAAAATGTGATATTTTCTAATATAAGTCAAGGTACTCTGAAGTTGTTAGGGTTTTAGGGGGCATTTTTCTGAAGGACTCATAAGTACATTACTCTTCATTTTTTTGGAACATAAGAAGTGAGGGATCATCTAGCAGTACTTTATATTTGGTTCACTTGTAGTAAGTATTTGTGCTTTGAAGATTTAAATCTGTAATAAGAAAGCATACTAATCTGAGATCTAGAATTATGAGACCAAATTCTTATTGAGAGTTATTTTCATCTGTCACGTTACATGAATGTTGCCTCCTCTTTAATAAGATTCTGTGAAAGATTTTGAGCTGTTAAAATTACTTCCTGAGGGATAGCTGTTAGCTCCTACTTCTCCTGCTTCCTTTTTTCAATCTCCATGAAAAGATGCTTTCTAAATAAAGTTTTCTGGTTTGCTTACATACGTAGTGTAGTACAGTTTTTTTTTTTTTTTTTTAAACCCGTTAACCCAACTGTCCAAAATGGACATATAAACAACTTTGAAAAAAGGTGATTGAGATGGGTATGATTGCATGCTTCTCGTCTTCAGTTTCAAATACTCATGCTATGAAAAGTATTAAGAGCAATATAAAGTTGGAGATGTGCATTTATTACATTTCAGTAATTAAATTTATAAAATGTTTATCTTAAATACAAAGTCTTAATCTGTAAATGATTGTGTACAGTTTTAGAAAATGTGCTTAATGCTAGTGGTTTATTTTTATGCATGAAGATTACTGTATTTTTACACAAATAATGCACAAGTTAAACGATTTTTGCCAACCACGCAACCCCCTTGCGTGTTATTGCCCTCACGCTAGGTACATTGTATGTATGGGCACGTTATTTATGTGGGCACGTTATTTGCAAAAAATATGGTAGTAAGAAACTTAAAAATCAATATTCCTTTTTAATTTCCCAGCCCATTATAGTATTTTTAGGCATGAAGAACTACCTGGCATAATGAAGAACAAAATAATAGAATTAAAAATAACAGTTTTGTTTCTATATCTCTAAAATGCATTGCCAAGTTCCCATTTAAAAAATCAGAATAATAACTCTTATGTGTCTTGTGATACTTAAGAAAATTAGTGAGAATGAGGTTGGGAGGATCTTTTTGCTTAAAATTACATTCTTCTTGATTAGTATTTTTTCAAACTACATCATCTAATTTGTACTGTAAAATCATTATGGTCCTAATGGGCACTCTTATAGCTCGAAGGAGTATTTTTGAAAAGCATCTATCCACATCAACATTTCATGTGTTTTGTGTACTATGAGTGGTAAGAAATACTCTTTAAAATTTTCTGCTAAAGCATCAATTTAGGCAATTTTTTTTTTTTTTTTTTAATAAAAATAAAAACTGTGCCGCTGGAGTAAAACACTGCATGGCTCCTGCGGTAGTATATCTGTGCTCTCAGTTACAAAGTTAGATGTGCTTACAGCAGATACGATCACATTATGGGCAAAACGTTTATTTGATTTTAAATTCTGAAATTAGCTACCTGCAAAAACCTGGAACCTTGACATTAAATATTTTTTTTCTTTTCTTTTATTGTACTTCAGGTGAAGGTTTACAGAACAAATAGTTTCTCATTAAACAGTAGTACACATATTGTTTTATGACATTGGTTAACAGCCCCACAACATGTCAACCCTCTCCCTTTTCAACCTTTTTTTTTTTGGTGAAAATACACGTAGCCAAAGATACACCATTTCAGAAATTTCTACATGCACAGTTCCGTGACATCGACTGCACTCTTCCAGTTGTGCTGCTATTCTCACTTTAGATGAAGGTTTACAGAACAAAATAGTTTCTCATTAAACAGCTAGTACACATATTGCCCTATGACAATGGTTAACAACCCCACTACACGTCAACACTGTCCTTACTCAACCTTGGGTTCCCTATCACCAGCTTTCCTGTCCCTTCTGCCTTCTAGTCCTTGTCCCTGGACTGCTGTGCCTCATCAGTCTCATTTTGTTTCATGGGGCTGTCCAATCCCCTGCTGAATGGTGAACCTTGGAAGTGACTTCACCACTGAGCTAAAAGGGTGTCTGAGGGCCATACTCTCGGGGTTTCTCCAGTCTCTTTTAGGCCAGTAAATCTGGTCTTTTTTGCTCTTATCAGTGAGGTCATACAATATTTATCCTTTTGTGATTGACTTATTTTGCTCAGCATAATGTCTTCCAGCTCCATCCACATTGTAGCATGTATCAAGTCTTTGTTTCTTCTGCTGGCTGAGTAATACTCCATTGTATGTATGTACCACATTTTGTGTATCTATTCAGGGAGGATCTTCTTCTCTGAGGTGTCTATTCAAGTCCCTTGACTATTTCTCCACTAGATCAGCTGTCTTTTTTTTACTGATTTTTAGGAGTATAGGTTCTGGATACAATGCGATCCCATTGTGAGTTATGCAGTGAATATTTTCTTCCAATCTGGCTTGCCTTTTCACTCTCTAAATGGTGTCTCTGCACAGAAATTCTTAAATTTAATGTAGTCCAGTTTATCAGTTTTTTCTTTTATTGTTAGTACTTTTTTAATGTTGAGTTTTATGAAATTTTCCTTTACCCACAGTTATGAAGATATTCTGCTAGATTATCTTCTAGAAGTTTTGCTTTTCACACGTGGATACGCACATCTACGTGGCATTGTGGATTCTTTTTCATTAATTCTGCTGTTACTTTATTTCCTTCTAGTTCCATTCTTTGAATTTAATTTGCTGTTTTTTTCTAGCTTCTTGAAATGGATGATGAATTCACTGATTTTCCGCCTTCTTTTTCACTGACTGCATTGAAGACTGTAAGTTTCTTCTAAGCGTCGCCTTAGCTGTTTCCTGCAGGTTTTGGTATTGTGGTGTTTTCATTGTCATTCAGTAAAAATACCTTCTGATTTCATTGTGATTTGCACTTGTGAACCCATGGGCTCTTCAGAATCTACGTTTAATAAGGTCTTTTAAAGTTGTATGTGCCTGTTCGGTTCATAGCAAAACTGTAGAAAAACCTTGAAGCTGTAGATCAGGGGTCCACAAACTAGCCCACAGGCAAATCTAGCTTCCCAGCCTTTCTTTGGGAGCCCTGGTGGCACAGTGGTTTAGTGCTCGGCTGCTAACTGAAAGGTCAGCAGTTCGAACCCACCAGCCGCTCTGAGGGAGAAAGACGTGAGAGTCTGCTGCGGCAAAGATGTACTCAGAGGGTCACTATGAGTCAGAATTGACTGGAAGGCAACAGGTTGGGGTTCAGGTTTGGCTGAAAATGGCTTTTATATTTTTAAATCAGAACAAGAATGACTTGTGATATGTGAGAGTTACATGAATTTTAAAATTTATGGCCGTAAGTTCGTTCTGTGGAGCACAGCCACAGGCATTTGTTTATGTCCTGTCCAGGCTGCGTTTGTACCGCAACAGCAGAGCCGTCTACTTGTTGTCAGAGGCCTTCACAGACAAAGTTCACTGGTTCTTGCTTTGGCCGATATTACGTTTTTTCATACAAGATTTGCTTTTGCTTCTGGCAGGCAGCAGGGATCCTAGCAATCTCAGATCACCTTTACCCAGTTACAGGGACTAAGATGATATGAAGGCTGGGCCCAATGACTGGGAGGGCCAGACTGCTTCAGCTCACCCCACTCCTGTCGGGATCCCAGTCCTCAGCACGGAGGCTCACCAGGACACCCCTTCCTTGGCCGGCCCTGGACTGCAGTCTGTCTCTTTCTCCCGAGAGGCTTTCAGAATCTCTTTCCAGGTCCTCAGCCTTTCAGCTGCCTTTTCCAAGACTGGCAGACACGCCATGGGGAAACACCACATACCAGACTCAGTTCTCTGGTTTTCTTCTCCCAAATTTTAGCTTATTTGGGCAAATGCTTTGTTAGCTCCCCGATGCCTTCAAGCAGGTTTTTATTTTAAATAGTTTAAACCCTTTTCAGGTTGTTTTCAGAGGGAGCTTTGGTTCACATTACCCAGTCGGCCGACATGGACATCCTAGATTCTTAGAATTTTAGAGAGTAATCCTAGTCTCTTCCCTCTCACTCACCCACCCTTTTAGACAAGCTCCAAGTTCCACAGCTAGTCTGTTGTTACTGCTGTTGTGGAGAAAAGACCACCCCGCCCCGCCCCAGCTCTGCTGAGGCAAAATCAAGAGATTTATTGAAGCCAAGACTTTGCAATGGGAGACCACGAAACCTCAGGCTGAAGCTCACGGATCTCGGGAAAGATGCAACTCACAGGTAATTCTCGTGCTGCAGGGGTTTCTCACTGGTTTACAGTAATTAAGGTCAGTCAGAGGCAGGACAAGTAAAGCAGAATCTTTAACATTACTGGTTACATGAGTACATTGATTGGCCACAAGACATAATTGAAAGACATGGGGTCAAGGTGAGTTTCATGTTGGTGACAAAGCAATGACATGACAAATATTTTCAGGAATGGTTGATTAACAATTACCTTGCTCAGAGCACTAGATCTCCAGAGGAGAGTGGAAATAAAGAGTTTCTAAAATCTATTACTTTGCCCAGTAGTCAGAAACTGCAGGAGACTGATAACAAAAGTTTCCGTGAAGTATTCACATTCTTCAGCCTAATCGCCAAGAAACTTACTTCCTTTATGATAATGGACTGGTTCCTAGGTAGAATCTGGGGGAAAGGCTAGAGCTGCTAGGCAGCAAAGGTAAAACCTAGGTGAAAGATTGCATTGAGCCCTTAAGAGTTGGTTCAGCCATTTTACAGATAGATCAGATGCTTGTTTTTATTTTATATCCCTTATTATTGCCTTGTTCTGGGCCCTAATTTCTCACCTGCATTACTGTCTGGTGGCACAATGGTTAAGTGCTTGGCCGCTAACCGAAAGGTCAGCAGTTTGGAACCCACCGATGGCAACAAGGGAGAAAGATGTAGCAGTCTGCTTCCATAAACATCACAGCCTTGGAAACCCAGTTCTGCTGTCCCACAGGGTCACTGTGAGTCGGAATCAACTTGACGGTCACAGCGTTGCACCAGGGGCTCAGAGTTCTAGGAGTTGTGGTGAATGAAGCAGCTGTGTGGGAAGGTGACTCAGCCGGGCTCTTAGAGACAAATCTCCTTCCCCAAGTACCTCAGAGGTGACCTTAGCAGGATAGGGGAGGCTGCCAGCTGGGTCACATGCAGAATGCAGATAATGTGCCCTATTTAATACGTGTAGTTCCTCCTTTCCCCTCCCACTCCATGCCAGGGAAGACAGAGTTAAAGAGTAGACATGGTAATGGTTCATTCATTCCTGTCTGTTCCCACCAGCTTCTCTTGGCCTCCTCACCCTAAACTCTTAGGTCTGAAAAGTCTGAAAGGGCTGGCTCTACTTTTAGATACATTCCACAAATGCATTTGTCCTGGTAACTTGCCCTGCTTTTATCTTCTCTCCACCAACAACAGAATTTTGACCATTCACCTCACCCTTGGGATGAAACACGGTGTGAGGACAATGTATCTGTAAGGCCCTTAGCAACACACATTTGTGACCTGGCTTTACGGAGATACTGAGAGAGACCTTCTTTTTAGCCTTCCTGCTTTTCCACTGGCAGAGTTATCTACTAGACTAAGTCAGAAGTAACCTTGGAATGGTAAAACACAAGGCAGTCGGCTGTTCATTGGCAGGGCAGGAAGGAGTAGATGAAAGAGCTTGGGAAGGAGGGTGAAGAACTGAAGGTGGAGTCACCATACCCCCAACACCACCTGTCAGGAAAACACACAGAAGACATTTGCCTGCCTTTCCAGCTTTGCCTAAAATAGGACTTGTTTCCTCCAAATCACTCTAGCTAAACCAGGGCTATTTTAACTGTTAGGTCTTTTTCTGGACCAAAAGTGCTTAATTTCCAATTTGAAATTATATTCCTCTTGCTCACAAACCTATGAGAGCCAAATCCCAAACTGACTTTTTTCTCTAGGTCTGTACCCATGTAGCTAGATCTAGTTATTTTCTTTGAAGATCCACCTACTGCCACTCCTTTCTTCCCTTCTTTCATTTCCTCTCCCTGCCCCCCTTTCTGGTACCGCTTACCAAGATTCATTGTATTAAACATTACATTATTTAACAATGCCATTTCACCTCTCTCTCTTACCCCCATTTAAGCTTCTTTCAGGTCAGATTTATATCTTTTTCTCATCTTCCACAAAACTTAATAGGTGTTTAATACTAGCTTGATAACTGATTTTCAGTGAATATCCTTCACTTACTATAAAATTCTAGGTATCTCAATTCTCTAAAGGCACTGAAACTGAACTTTCTGTTGTTGGCGTCAAGACAATTCCATGTGCGCAGACAGAACTGCGAGTATGTAGACAGAACTGTGAGTGTGCAGATAGAACTAGGAGTGTGCAGACGGAACTGCATGCGTGCAGATAGGGGTTTTCAAGGCTGTGATCTTTCGGGAGCAGATTGCCAGGCGTATCTTCTGAGGCACCTCTGGGTGAGTCTGAACTAACAACCTTTCGGTTCGTAGTCGAGCGGTTAACCCTTTGCACCACCCAGGGACCTAATCATACAAAATTCCTGAAACTGTGATTTAAAGCTCTTAAATAGAACATCAGAATTCCTGAAGTCTGCATGACAGTGTATAAAATAACGTGTAAACCCATGACTGTGTTGACCACTTCCAATCCTGCAGCAGCAGCATATGAGGTAAGCTAAAAGAGACTGCATAACCTGCGTAAGTTTGAAAACCAGAATCTTGAGCATTGCAGGTACTCAGAATGCATACTAAGTGTAATGGTTGACATTTAGAAGCTTGGCTATTGGTGTATAAATGATTCATGCTATAAAATATGCATTACAGTCTTCTTTTTAAAATCCGTTTAGCAGTTAATAAGAATTCAATAAGTAAATAATTAGAGAACGTGCATTAAGTGGTCTTTATTGATGTTTTACATTCAGTTATTTTCTTCATTGTCAGTTCTTTAGTTAATTATACAAGAATGATCAGTTATTTCCTATTTGCTGTAGAACTTTAAATGTAAAATAAATACAAAATGTATTTGTGGTTTAATGAACACTCAAGGAAGCATTCCTTTCTGAGGTATTCCCTTCAGTCTGGTTTCATCCCAGATCTGTCTTTTCACTTCTCCTAGGAAAAATCTATTAAACCACAAAATGGATCTGGAACCAGTGAACGTGAGTTTTAGTGACATTAGACAAATTTTTTGATCTCATCATACAATACCAATACAAAAGCACCTCCCATGCCTCTCAGTACATTGGACCAGGCACCTTTGAAGAAAGCTCTGGGTCCTTCATCTTTCGCAATCTTCCTCCAGCAGTCGACTGTCCCACTGTACATTATATCAGCTGTGGAAACAAATGTTGGTAAGGGCTCTGTAATTCTGGGGCTGTAGGGGTGGGGGGCTTTTCCTCTGAAAGACATCTGTACACAATGTTATCAGTGTTAAAAGTTAGGGTCACTTGGGCCTTAAAGCCCCAGCTCTATGCAACATTCAATGGGACGACTCCTTCCTTGTGTAACTGTTAGGCAGGGTCTTTCCTACTCCTTTGTCTCAAAATCAAGTGAAGAACTGGGGCAGTTAACCAACTAACTCACACAACTGTGAAACCGTAAAAGAGGAAGGGAGAAGACTGGAGTGGGAGTACTGGGCTATGTGGTCCCCTTTTTGTGGAGGGGGAAACTGAGGTCTTGGATTATACTGCCCAAGATTACAATTAAAAGTGGTACAACTGTTAGGTTGAACTGTACAAAACTGTCAACATTTGACTATTTTTGACTTAAAAAATGGCAATTTCATGTCAACCTAGAAAAGTCAGAACTTTTTCTATCACCACAGTTTGCTGATTGCCCTACCAGCTCAAATGCCCTAACCTACTAGCATTAGATAAGTGAAGCAAGAATTATTTTTAAATAAACGAGTTAACTATTTCAGTTCTTCTCCCTTGTTTCTGCAAAGCTGGCTGTAAAGGAAGAAGGCCTCTACCATCTAGACACGTAGTTACAGTCACCTCTGTCTCATTTTCATGTTTTTATCATCTCTTTAATGAAAACACCACTCAACTGTCAGTTGGTCATACCGGGGGGGGCTTGCATGTTGCTGTGATGCTGGAAGCTATGCCACTGGTGTTTCAAATACCAACAGGGTCACCCATGGTGGACAGGTTTCAGTGGAGCTTCCAGACTAAGACAGACTAGGAAGAAGGACGTGGCAATCTACATTTAAAAAAACCAGCCAGTGAAAACCTTACGAATAGCAGTGGAACATTGTCTGATACAGTGCCAGAAGATGAGCCCCTCAAAATACAACTGGAGAAGAGCTGCCTCTTCCGAGTAGAGTCGACCTTAGTGACGTGGATAGAGTCGAGCTTTCAGGACCTTCCTTTGCTGATGTGGCATGGCTCAAAATGAGAAGAAACGGCTGCAAATATCCATTAGTAATTGGAACATGGAATGTACTAAGTATGAATCTAGGAAAATTGGAAGTTGTCAAAAATGAAATAAAATGCTTGAAGATTGATATTCTAGGCATTAGTGAGCTGAAATGGACTGGTACTGGCCATTTTGAATCAGACAGTCATATGGTCTACTATGCCAGAAATGACAAATTGAAGAGGAATGCCGTTGCATTCGTTGTCAAAAATAACATTTCAAGATCTATCCTGAAGTACAGTGCTGTCCGTGATAGGATCATATCCATACGCCTACAATACAAGGAAGACGAGTTAATACGACTATTATTCAAATAATCACACCAACCCCTAATGCCAAAGATGAAGAAATTGAAGATTTTTTTACCAACTTCTGCAGTCTGAAATTGATCAAACATGAAATCAAGATACGTTGATAATTATTGGTGATTGGAATGTAAAAGTTGGAAACAAGGATTGGTAGTTGGAAAATATGGCCTTGGTGACAGAAATGATGCTGGAGATTGCATGAAAGAATTTTGCAAGACCAATGACCTAGTCACCGGAAATACCTTTTTTCAACAGCACAAACAGTGACTATACATGAGGACCTCGCTAGATGGAATACACAGAAATCAAATCGACTACATCTGTGGAAAGAGAGGATGGAAAAGCTCAATATCATCAGTTAGAACAAGGCCGGGGGCCAACTGCAGAACAGACCATCAATTGCTCATGTGCAGGTTCAAGCTGAAGCAGAATATTAGAACAAGTCCATGAGAGCCAAAGTATGACCTTCACTATATCGCACCTGAATTCAGAGACCATCTCAAGAATAAATTTGACAGACTAAACACTAATGACCGAAGACTGGAAGAGTTGTGAGATGGCATCAAGGACATCATACATGAAGAAAGCAAAAGAAGGACTAGAAGGCAGGAGGGGACAGGAAAACCAGTAACAGGGAACCCAGGGCTGAGAAGGGACAGTGTTGACATGTCATCGGGTTGTTAACCATTGTCATAAAACAATTACGTGTACCGACTGTTTAATGAGAAACTATTTGTTCTGTAAACCTTCATCTAAATTTAAAAAAACAAAAAAACAAAAAATCATTAAAAAGACAGGAAGGAAAGAAAAGATCAAAATGGATGTCTGAAGGGACGCTGAAACTTGCTCTTGAACAATGAGTAGCTAAAAGAAAAGGAAGAAATGATGAAGTAAAAGAGCTGGACAGAAGATTTTAAAGGGCACCTTGAGAAGACAAAGTAAAGTACTATAATGAAACGTGTAAAGACCTGGAGTTAGAAAACCAAAAGGGAAGAACATGTTCACCATTTCTCAAGATGAAAGAATTGAAGAAAAAATTAAAGTCTCAAGTTGCAAAACTGAAGGATTCTGTGGGCAAAATACTGAACGAAGCAAGAAGCATCAAAAGAAGATGGAAGGTATACAAAGAGTCACTGTACCAGAAAGAACTGGTTGACATTCAACTATTTCAGGAGGTAACATATGATCAAGAACCGACGGGATTGAAGGAAACAGCCCAAATTGCACTTAAGGCACTGGCGAAAAACAAGCCTCCAGGAATTGGTGGAGTACCAACTGAGATGTTTCAACAAACAGATGCAACACTGGCAGCACTTACTTGTCTACTCCAAGAAATGTGGAAGATAACTACCTGGACAACTGACTGGAAGAAATCCACATATGTGCCTAATCCAAAGAAAGGTGATCCAATGGAAAGAGGAAATTATCTAACAATATCATTAATATCACATGCAAGTAAAATTATGCTGAAGATGATTCAAAAACAGTTGCAGCAGTACATTGACTGGGAACAGCCAGAAATTCAAGCCAGAACCAGAAGAGGACGTAGAACAAGGGATATTATTGCTGATGTCATGGATCTTGGCTGAAAGCAGAGAATACCAGAAAGATGTTTACCCATGTGTTATTGACTATGCAAAGGCATTCGACTGTGTGGATCATAATAAATTATGGATAGCATTGCAAAGAATGGCATTTCAGAATAGTTAATTGTGCTAATGTAGAACCTGTACATAGACCAAGAGGCAGCCATTCGAATAGAACAAGGGGATACTGTGTAGTTTAAAATCAGGGTTAGGGCTAGGGTTAGAGGACTTGAAGCACTTCCTGATGAAGATCAAAGACTACAGCCTTCAGTATGGATTACACCTCAACATAAAGAAAACAGGAATCCTCACAACTGGACCAATAAGCAACATCATGATAAACGGAGAAAAGATTGAAGTTGTCAAGGATTTCACTGTACTTGCATCCACAATCAACACCCATGGAAGCAGCCGTCAAGAAATTATTGCATTGGGCAGATCTGCTGCAAAAGACCTCTTTCAGGTGTTAAAAAGCGAAGATACCTCTTTGAGAACTAAGGTGTGCCTGACCCAAGCCAGGGTATTTTGAATCATCTCACATATGTGCAAAAGCTGGGCAATGAATAAGGAAGACTAAAGAATTGATGCATCTGAATTATGATGTTGGTGAATACACCATGGACCGCCAGAGGAACCAAGTCTGTCTTGAAAGGAACAGCTAGAGTGCCCTTAGAAGCAAGGATGGTGAGACTGTCTCACATGCTTTGGACATGTTGTCAAGAGGGATCAGTCCCTGGAAAAGGACACCATGCTTAGTAGAGGGTCAGCAAAAAAGAGGAAGACCCTCAATGAGATGGATTGGCACAGTGGCTGCAACAATGGGCTCAAACATAGCAATGATTGTGAGGATGGCGCAGGACAAGGTGGTGTTTTGTTCTGTTGTACATAGGGTTGCTAACTGGAAGCAACTTGATGGCCCCTAACGACAACAACAAAAACAAAGGTTTCTCTAAAGGAGTAGTTGTGAATGTTAAAAAAAAACCCACCTGTTGCTGCTGAGTCAATTCCAACTCATAGCAACCCTGTAGGACAGAGAACTGCCCCTAGGGTTTCCAAGGCTGTTATCTTTACGGAAGCAGACTGCCACATCTTTCTCCTGCAGAGCAGCTGGTGGGTTCGAACCTACGACCTTTCAGTTAGCAGCTGAGAGCTTAGCCACTGTGCCACGACGGCTCCTTGCTGTGAATGTTGTTTTTGTTGTTAGGTGCGATCAGTCAGTTCCAACTCATAGTGACCCTGTGTACAACAACATGAAACACTGGGCTGCGCCATCCTCACAATTGTTTCTACACTCGAGCCCACTGCGGCCACTGTCAGTCCATCTCGTCGAGGGTCTTCCTCTCTTTCACTGACCCTTTACCGAGTATGATATCCCTCTCCAGGGACTGGTCCCTCCTGATAACATGTCCGAAGTATGTTGAGATGAAGTCTCGCCATTTTCACTTCCAAGGAGCATTCGGGCTGTACTTCTTCCTAGACAGATTTTTTCACTCTGGTGGTGCATGTTGTACTCAACATTCTTCGCCAACACCATAATTCAAAGGAGTCAATTCTTCTTTGGTCTTCCTTAATCATTGTCCAGATTTCACATGCATACGAGGTGACTGAAAATACCATTTTGGTCAGCTGTGCTTTTTCCTCAAAGTGACTGTTGGGGGAATTAATTATCTCTTTCTCCGCTCAGCCCTTCTTATCAAATAATGTTAACAATTAGTTTAGGATACTGAGGACTGAAAGGAGCAGTGACAGCGTTGTCTTCAGGGAAAAACGGGGAAGATTTTGATTAGGAGGCCCAGACTTACCCCCTTTCCGGCCTGACTGCATCATCATCCTACGGCGAACTGTGTCAAAGGGGTAGGACACCAGCCCTGCGACCGCTGTCACGCTCTGTGCAATCATCCAGCTCACAAAGATGTGTACGTTCTTAGGGTCTGGCAGCATCCCTGTGGGGAGAGCCCAGAAGCCAAATGGCTGTCAAGTGATTCCACATACCAGCTGAGCACTAAGTAGGTGGGAGTTCAGAGGAGGCCACTGCACTTCCAAGTCCACGCCACGCCCTTCCGGAAGAACCCGCCCCTTGTAGGGACGCCTCACGAATAGTGAGGTGGCCAGCCAAAGCTGGTAGCTGCCCCTCTGGATGCAGGGATGCCAGCGCTCTGCTCAGTAGGCAGGGTATGTTGAAGCTGCTCCAAGGTTAAACTCTGGTAAGTGATACAGCTGTGTCAAGGGGGGTTGGGCTCCCCCGTCCTACTCTGTGGATAGCTCAAGCCCAGAGTTTAATTCAATAAAGAGAGGAGGAAGAGAACCCTTTGGTTCTTAATTTATCCACACCATATCACCTCATTCAGAAACTTCAGTTTAGCCTGGGGACTAGGAAAAACCAAGGTAAATAAATACAAAGTCCTTTGTGAGTTATAAATCTCTAAAGATACTCTCTCCACACACCCTCCTCCTGCCCGCTCCCCACCTCTAGCCCCCCTCTCACCCTTGGCAGTATCATAGACTCCGAAGTAGGCAGCCCTGTAGATAATGATGCCCTGGACAGAGACGTTGAAACCCTGGTAGAGACCCCTCAGGCCATCAGACTTGAAGATCTTGACGAGACAGTTGCCCAGACCAGTGAACTCACGCTGGGCAGCACCCTTGCCCACGTCAGCGGCCAGCCTGGTCCTGGCAAAGTCCAGCGGGTAGACAAAGCAGAGAGAGGTAGCCCCGGCTGCCCCACCAGATGCGAGGTTACCGGCAAAGTAGCGCCAGAACTGCTTGTGCCGGTCCACGCCCCCGAGGAAGATCTGCTTGTACTTGTCCTTGAAGGCGAAGTTGAGAGCTTGGGTGGGGAAGTAACGGATGACATTGGCCAGGTTACCTCTCCAGAAGGAGAGAAAGCCCTGTTCCTTGGGGATTCTCACCACGCAATCAATGATCCCTTTGTACTGCTTCTCAGCACTGATCTGTTTGCTGGCATGCTGGACCTGTTAGGGGGAGGGGTGAGAGAAGACAGGCAGAGAGAAGGGAGGGGGGACCGGAGAGGGAGAAGGTTGGCACTTCCTTGATTTCCTTGTGAAAAAAATATATGGGGCAATCAAATGCATATTGAGAAGATGTAAATGTCAGCTACTTGGATAACAAGCCAATTTTGCTCAGTTATCAGGACATCTGAGGAAAAAGGTTGTGCTCCAAAGAAACTGATAAAATGATGTAATTGTGTAAAGATAATCATTTATTTACTGCGTTTTTCCCTGTGTGCCAGATCTATATTAGGGTCTTACTGGAGATAGGGAGCCCTGGTGACACAGTGGTTAAGAGCTTGGCTGCTAACCAAAATGTCAGCAGTTCAAATCCACCAGCCGCTCCTTGGAAACCCTATGGGTCAGTTCTACTCTACTCTGTCCTACAGGGTCACTGAGTCAGGATTGACTCAACAGCAACGGGTTTGGTTTGGTTTATTGGAGATAGAATTGAAAACCTCCCTGCCACAAAGGCTCCTGATGAGACATGAGGAGCAGAAGACAATTCTTCATGTCACTGTGGTCTCACTGGAGAAGGGGATCTCTGAGTCGTAAACCTTCCAACAGAGGAAGGAGAATATATTTAGTCATTAGAGCCAGAAATTATTCAAGCATTACCCAACTAACCAATTACTGAGGGGTTTGTTCACAGTTTGTTGGGGATTTGTTGCTGTTGTTGATAATTTCTGGTTCAAGGGTAATAGCATGGGGAGAATTGTCTTATTTGACTCTCAAGTTGGAGTATTCCTCATTGAGAAGCATTTCCTTTTTGGGCAGGTAGAGAAAACGGGGTGAATGAGACCATGATTATAAAGGTCATATAAAGTCCTTTGTGAGTTACTAGTCCCTTAAAATACTCTCTGCAGGTAGGGGAGGGTATGACCAGGTAGGGAAGGAAAAGGTCTGGGGAGAGGATGGATAAGGCTTATACTGAAAATTGTTTCTAATTTCTCAAAGCCTCAGTTTCTTTATCTGTAAAATGGGGGAAACAATACCTGTCAGCCCTAAATAAACGGAAAAGTTAATTGTGTAAAGATAATCATTTATTTATTGCATTTTGTCTGTATGCTAGATCTATATTAGGGGGTTATTGGGAGATAGAAACAGGGATTATATAAATGAAATAAAAACATGTCAGCATAGTGTCTGGCACACAGCAATAAAAGAGTAATTATTTTGATGTTTTTAGTTTATTTTGAAAGCTGGGGAGTAGGTAAGGCGCAAAGGATACTTAAAATCAAAAGGCAAGGCCGGTCTAAGAGGCCTAAGTGGTGTGCCAGCGCTGTCACAGGCGCAGGATCTGGCTCCCGGTAAAGCGATTCCGGGCCGGTTTCCATATATAGACACCCGCACGCGGGCGCCACCCGACACCAGGAATCTGCTACTGACGCTGGACCTGTCTACGCAGAGGGCACCTTCCCCTTCACGCGGGCCAGGCGCCCGAGCCTGGGGCCTGACGCAGATTTCTGCGGCGCCCGCCCCGCGCCTGCGGCTCGCTGCGCCCTCGTCCCGCCCGCACCCCGCTCGCTGCGCCCGCGCCGCCACAGGCTCGCCCATCTCACCTGCAGCAGCAGTTTCACCCTCTCGATGGGGGCGACCGCGGTCTTGGAGATGGCAGCGGCGACGCCACCTGCTAGGAAGTCCTTCAGGAAGCTCAACGCCTGATCACTCATGGTGACAGCCGGGCGCCGGGTGTCTTCAGGGAGCCGCGCTCGCGCCTACGCCCCGGCCAGGCACCGCCACCCCGTCCCCGTCCCTGTCCCTGTCCCTGCGCGACGCGAAGGGGCCGCGCAGCTCCCCCGCAGCCCGCCTTATATCCCCCGTCCGTCTCTCGCGAGAGGAGGAGGGACCCCGGGCAGTGCGCGCATTGCGCATTGGCTGGGCAGGTGCTTGCACACCCCTGTCCATCCCCCTCTCTGCAGAGGGCATTGGGGGCGAATGCGTTTCCGCGAGGCAGGGTGGGCTGGGGGCCGTGCCTTTAGCTTGGGACGTTTAAAGGGCAAATTAATGTTATCTGTCCGGAGCAGAGGGAACACCGTGTCACTGCGACATGTGGGCCGCTGTATTTATAGCACAAGAAGGCTTAGGCTGGGGCCGGCCTGGGGACAGACACGGGAGCTGATGTCTGGAGCAGGGCTGCATTTAACGTCGGGCCTACACGCGACCCTGGGGAGTTCAGGCTATTTTTTCTCCTTGTTCCATATAATGCAGTCTCGCATCAGGGATCACTGTCTGGATTTGGACCTCGTCAGAGTTGTGCGCTCACTCACTCAAGTGAATTAAGATCCTTGTGTATAAATACTAGCTTCACTTCATGCTGTGATTGCTTCATGTAGTCTGACAACCTGCTGTCTCCCTGCTTCATTCAAGCGTGCAATCATCCATTCTGTTATCAAATATTAACGTTTATGTGCCTGGTGCTCAGTACAGACGCCACTGGATCAATACTTGTTTTAGCAACGTGTGTGTGTGCGCGCGTGTGTATGTGTGCGTGCGTGTATGTGCAATTGCTTTTCTTCTGGCTCAGCCCGTCACACTATGACACACAGCCCCATGAGTCTAAGAACAGGGACCTGACAACACTTCCTTTGAAAGGCCTCGAGGGCGTAATGTACCATTCCGCTCTCAATGGAATCTCGGTAAATATCCTGAGCAGAATGTTCTCCGTCAGCTGGCCGCCTCTGGAGGGTCAGCGCTGTTAGGCTTCCCATCAGAGGAGCAGGTGACAGAAATGTTAAGGAAGAGAAGGTCGAATCCTTGGCCGTATTTACCTGTTTTTATAGGGACCTGGGTTTGGAGAAACGTGATATTTAGCCCTAGGAAATTGACTGCCGTTAGTTTTCAACTTCAAATTCTACACTACTCAATTCTCTTCCCAAGCCTGTTGACATTCATTCGTACATTTGTCAAAATGGATTCATGTTTGTTCGTTTTTCTTTGATGCTTGATGAATGGACACAGCATCATGTAGGTGGTTATCGAGCCACAGTGGTATGTCACCCCGAGTCTGGAGACCAGCAGAGCACAGGTCTCCAGTCAGGTGCCAGGACCACAGATGGTACACGTTTATCAGAAGCTGGGGCAGTCTGGAGGTCAAAAACCGAGGCAGGCAGTACAGAAGCTAAGAAAGTGCAAAGCTGCCACAGGTCAGAGCAGACCCAAGAATTCAGGACAGACAAACAGAAGCGTTGTTTCTTCAAAAACATGGAGCCTATCAGCAATGCTGATGGATTCTGGACCCTCTTCCAACACTAGCATTAAAGAAAAAAAGCACCTTTTAGTTATTTGTACCATTTTATGCAGCTATTCAAACACTTGTTGAGCATTTATTGTGTGCCAGCAACAAAGTCTGGCCCTGTGGATTCAAAATAAGTAAGACATGGCCCAATCCCCAAGGAACTTACAGTTGGGTGTTGGAATCAGTATGTCACTTTTTCAGCTTTATTTACTGCAGCTTCACATGCAGATTTCCATGGAGCAACATAGTCCACACATCAGTCATTTTTTATTGTAATAGGGTACTGCAGTCCTTCCTGTTAATACCTAGCTGTTGCTTAGACCATTTTCCTTTTAATTGTGCATTGGGGTTTTTTTTCTTATTATTATTAAAAATAATGTTGCTATATTTTTTGCACAAAATTCATTTTCTGCTTTCATACATTCCCACAGTGGAATTGAGCTTTTGAAGTTTTGTAATTCCTGCCACATAGTGACAAATCACCCTTCAGAAATGTGCAGCCCATCAGCAATGTTGATGGACTCGTATATCCCTTGGATCCTCTTCCGACCCTAGTGTTAAAGGAAAAAAAGTACTTTTTAGTTATTGTGCCATTTGATGCATTCTAATCCACTCCTTTAATTGTTATGAAATTGTACATTTTCCATGTGATTCCACTTAGTTTGCCAGGATTTTCCTTTGCATAAACTTGTCATCTTCCTCGACTACATACAACAGTTCTTTATATATTTTGGGCAACAAATATGTGTCAAGTATTTTCCAGTTTATTGTGTTCCTTTTGATACTTATTTTATTCCATTGCTCTAACTGTTATTTATTTAAATATGAATAGGCCCATATTATGATACTATACTTCATGTTTTCAGGTACGTGTATCTCTTATACATGTATTAGTCCACTTGCCCTAATATGTTAGCCTATTTTTTTCTACTTCGTTTGGTAATTATTTTTTAACTGTCTGATGCTACATTATACATTGTAAGGAGCTATGGAGCCAAGTTCATTCCTCTCCACACCATTCTCCAGGCATCCCACTACTAATTCTTTATTTGTCTGATATTACCAATTTATAGTTAATCATATATTAAGTTCTTATAGTAGCTTTAGTTTATGAAATCACCATTCTATGATTTATTTGATCATTACTCTTTAAAAACAAAAACCTGATATGTGATACTACCACTTAAAAATTAAAAAGCTTCGTCTGCTTATTTGTCTGGATTTATTTTATTATCAAATTTTTTAATTGTATAATTGAATATATTATTTAAAATATATTTATTTTTAAATACTGAACTATTGATTTAAAATAATGATTTATTATACACTATTAATTGTGCAATTATTTAAACATCACTAGGAGATTTTTAACAGACATTTAAATCAAATAAAAGATTAAGTTAATAACATATTAAATCAGGAATTATTATCATCTTGGCTACACTTACTTTGACCAATCAGAACCCTGCTACTGTTTACCCGGGAAACATCCTATTTCTCCTCCGCTTCTCGCCAACTATCCTGTCACACGGGGGAGGGAGCTGCAGCTAGAATCCTCCACAAGCGTTTTTCCGCGGAAACCTGCACACTGTCCTCTCCCTCCACGGACTTTCTCAGAAAAGAGAGGCCTCAGATGCCCTCAGGAGCGTGAGCTGCCTGTGATCACAAGACCCAGGTTTCACTTACGCAGGCAGAGGAGAGAAGGGGGGCTAGGCAGAACCGCGGAGGCTCTCCGCCAGCGTGGCAGCGGACAGGGCGGGGGGGATGAGAGAGAAAACCCTGCTCTCACATGTGGCTGGCACCCTGGAGACTGGGGTAGGGCTGTGTAGAAATGAGGGCAGAGAATTGAGCTAGTGTTTTGGCTCTTTAGTAGAAGCGTCTAAAGAATTATTCTCTTTTACCAAATTGAGAGAGAAAGGGAGCTGCTGAAGGATGGCAGGCACTAGAAATAAAGAAAAACATTGTTGATAACAGGTGTTGATAAAGTAATACCTGAGCGCATGTGCCGCCTCTAGAACTGCCGGGAACCAGAACACACTGTTGCCATTTGTGCCATGTAAGTTTCAGCTTCAGCCAAGAGAAATGAATACTGAAATTTTATTTTTTGCTTATTTAAAAAAAAAAAAACTGTTGCTGTGGAGGCAACTCTGACTCACAGCAACCCTATAGGACAGAGCAGAAGTGCCCCATAGGGCTTCCAAGGAGCAGCTGGTGGATTCGAACTGCTGACCTTTTGGTTAGGAGCTCGGCTGCTGACGCTGGAGAAGCTCCCATGCCAGGGATGGGCTTCCCCGTGTTTCCTACAAGGCAGTTATAATGCAATGTGACAGGGGTCCAAGCAGAGGCTCTGGGTGCACTTCCACGTGAATGGCTTTTAATATGTTCGTCAGAACTTGTATTTTTAACATTTTTATGAATGCTTACGAAACAACAAGTTTTGTTAGAAATATTTTAGGCATTATTATTTAAAGGAGGCAATTTCTGGGGGCAAAGGAGCCTCTGAATCATAGAAAAGATGGTGAGAGGCCTCTCCTTCTCCCCACAGGTGCTCCGCTCCCTGGAGAGAGAATGAGCTGGGGCTGGCCCAGTGGTTACTGGAGGCAGGGGAACCTGGAGGGCTCTCCAGGCACTCCTGCCACCCTCAGTGAATATATGTCAACCCCCCTTCCTGAAAACAGACCCATAACTTCCCTTCTCCCACTCCCAATCTGAGCACCCCCTTCTGACTTTATCCAAGACTCCTACTAGCAAATTCTATATTTTATGGCAAAACCAAGCTTATTTTTATGCATATCTAATAATGCCTTCCTGCCATAACCATCCACCTCCCTTGCTGACACCTTCCGAATTCCCTGAGGTGCAGTATCTGTTAGTAAAGCCATTTCTCACCCGAGTTGACTTGATTGACGCGGTTCCGTGCCATCTTCATCATCACTGGTATGTCTGAGTCCACTCTCGTGGCTGCTGTGTCAACCCATCTCACTGAGGGTTTTTCTCATTTTGCTGACCCTGTGCTTTACCAACATGGTGTTGTTTTACAGTGATTTTTAAGGACATACAGGATTCGAATTGCTATATCTTCTTGGTGAATTTAACTTTTTATTACTGAGTTGAAGGAGCCCTGGTGGTACAATGGTTAAATGCTTGGCTGCTAATTGAAAGGTCAGCAGTTTGAAGGACACGCCACACCACGGGAGAAAGTCCGCTTCGGTAAAGATTTACAGCCTTGGAAACCCTGTGGGCAGTTCTACCCTGTCCCACAGGGTCGCTGTGAGTCGAATCGACTGGATGGCAATGGTTATCATTAAGTTGTGATCCTCTTTATCTGCAGTAATACTTTTTGCCTTGAAGCCTTTTTCACCCAAAACTGTATTAATAGAACTGTACCTGTTTTATTTTGGGTTGTATTTACCTAGTTTATCTTTTTCTATGCTTTTACTTTCAACTGTTTTGTATTTTTTTATGTAGGTCCGCTGTAAAACCTCTGTATTTTCTTTTTTTATTCTAACTTGACATTCTTAGTCTTTTAACTGGAGAGTTTGGATAC